CCTGCTCCATACCGCACAGAGGGCAGAGCAAGTCGGGCAAAACGTAGCCGTGCTCTGACGCTCTAACCTTGGTCCACGGAGCCTGACAGACGAGCCCGCGGATACAACCTTTCTCCCAAGGCGTGAACTTAGACGAAGCCATAGCTCGGAGCGGCACGTCTAGGCAAGCACGACGCTCGAGACCAAGGCTGTCGCCGTAGGCACGCTCATGAGATCTCAAAACGGCGAGACGCAGCAGACGTTTGAGAAGGGCAGGGGAGACGAGCGTTAACTGAACTTCCACCCCCAAGTCGTCAACCAAGGTGGAAAAAGAGGGCATCCTCCACCCAAGACGCTCCACCGACAGCCTAAGGGCCCCAACAGGGCCCCCAATCTGCCCCCAGGAGGGGGAGGGGCCCGCAAACACGGCACTCCAAGCCCCCCTAAGCTCGGCCAAGCTGAGGCCAAACTCGAAGGAGGCCGTAAGGCTGGCCCAGGTTTCTTTAGACCAGCGCACAATCGGGGCCACAGAACAATACCAAGTGGGGTCGGCGGCGAACAGCAAAGCTGCAGTCAAAGAGCGGTCTCCAGCCGAGGGGCTGAGAAACCGTCCAAGAGAGCGCCGCAGACTCGCCAACTCATGGTCGGAAGCGCCGTGCACCTCACAGCCATAAGTTCTGCTGGCCAAGGGGCCACTAGTATATATCCGCTTGGCGTGTCTCCCCAAAGCATTCCTGTGAACCCTAATACGATGACATTTGGTTTTGAAGGACTTCTTACGAATCTGAATATTAGGTCCTCTCCTGGCCGTCCTCCGAGGCTTGCCTGCAGCGTCGTCAATGCCCAGGTTGACAGCAGATGCGCACGGAGCTCCGCCCACAGCGCCAAGGCCTCGGCGAATCTCCTTAGCCACTAAGGAAACTGAGGCGACCACAGCCGCCTTACTGACAGAAATATAACAACCTAGATCGGACTCGACGGCCACCTGCAATCGGAACGCAGCTTCGATCAGGTCCTGTACGACGGCCTTGGGAGCCCCCGTGCAAGACAAGGTGTAGTCATCGATGTAAACTCTCAACGAGACCGATCTAGGGATGCTGAGGCCATCTAAGGCCGCTAGCGTGAAGACGCGAATGAAAGTGGTGGCGAATCCGCACCCAGCAATCAAGCCTCGCCAAGCAAACTGCGGGCCCTCCACGCGGCCGTTCATGGCCATGTAGCGGCACGAGCGATAGGCCTCGCAGCAGACCCTGGCAATCTGCATGGGAAAGGAATGCTGGTGACAACGGGCAAGGAGCGAGTCGAGGTCAACAGCCTTGTAGAACTTCAGAAGATCCCACAAGATAGACCCAGAACAGTCCTTGGAATCAACAGCAACCTCGCTCCTCACTCCTTGCCTCCAGACGGTATCGACACTGGAGGCGAAAGCGCCAGCACAGAAGTACTCTCGGGCATTTGCAGCTTCCCACTGCCGAGCAAAGTCTCGCCTGGCGCGGGCCCACAAACGATGCAGTGCAACGAACAATCCGATCGGGCGGTGCCCTCCATCGGGCTTAGCGAGCATAATAAGCAGCACAACTCTCATCTGGCCAGGCAACAGACCCGAACGTTCCCAAATCGCAATCATGATCGCAAGCACCTGCAGAGCAGGGTCCGACAGATGCTGAAACGACCGAACGTGAAACCCATCGACAGACGAGGCGGTACGAGCGGGAAACGAACGGGCCGTCCGACGAAGATCCCCGACCGAAAGCTCAGGCAGAGGCTCGAGGGGCACGAAGCTAGCGCCAGATGGGCGCGGCTCGGGAACAGGCTGGGCGTGCCAGATACGCGCAAATTTCTCGAGCTCAGAAGATAAGAGGGCCCCAGGGTCCGAGACCACCTCGCCTTTAGCCGACAAGGTAGTAGAGGGGGCCCACCCCGCAGCTCCACGAATCACCCCGTGGGCGTGACGGGCTCCGTTTTCAATATTCTGACGAATCCATTCCAACCAGTTCTTATGATCCTCGTGGCGAGACTTGCTCTCGGCCGCCGCCAGGGCCTGGGAGACCAAATCAAGCACACGTTGGGGTTCCCCTTCAATGTAAGGTTGGCATGGGGGGCTATGAGTCACAATATCTTGAACAGCCTGGAGGGGAGTCAATGGCTCACCGTCCCAAGTGCCCAGTCTCGACGGAGGGTGGAACAGCTCGCCCGCAGTATCCCGCAGGTGTTGCTGCCGACGCTCCTCCGAGCTGGACGCTCTGGCCACATTGCGGGAGCTATCGCTGACCCCCGCAACGCAAGACCGTTTTACATCACCGCAATAGGCAAAAGGTGGGGAGGGGAGAGGCACCACCTGACAATCTCGATCTTGACAACCGAGGCCGTGCAACTGGAGCCAAAGGCGGTAGCGCGAGCACAGCCACCTCAAACTGGTAGCCTCGCGCGAAGTCCGAGAGATGCCCGCCATCGAGCGATGCGACGCGTCGACGACGTTGACCCAGCGCAGCTGAGCCTGGCGGCCTCTCGCGCCATGAACTGGTAGTTGGGTCTGAAAAACACCTTCGAGCTCCTTTTCAGCAGCCGTACCCCACTCACGATACAACACATCAAGGTTGAACTGGGTTCTATCAGTGTCGCCAAGCTCGGCCGACGCAAGGGCTCTGGAGGCCATGCGAGACACTAAATCCCAATCCTTGGATGGTTGGGGCAAGGGACCAGGGGGCCGTTCTTTAGGGGGCGGCGGGGGGCTGCGAAAAGTGAGGGCCCGCAGAGACGCAAGCTGAGGGTGACGTTTAACCGAAACGGGGTCGTGGGTAGCCAACTCCGAGTCCGCGATAATCTTCACGCCCGCAATAGCTTGGGCAACTCTGGCCTCAACCAACATATAATCGTACATCTTCAAACCTCCAGTCGACCTACAAGTGCCAAGGACACCCGGGGGAACGCAAAATTCGGCACCGAGGCGGTCGGGGATCCGCGAGGCGCACAAAGTCGAAGGCTCCATGTTGAAATCACCCCCGATCACATAAGGCACCGAGAGGCTCTTGGCTCTCGAAGCAATGCACGCCAGGATCTCACGATTGAGATCGTTCAAGCCAGCACAATCCTGCAAGTAGACACTCATAACATAGAAACTAGCCTGACCAGGGAGATGGACTAACACACCCGTGGCTCGATGATTTTTCACCCGAGGCCCAAAATCAAGGTAGTGCAGTCCCAGGAAGGACCGAGCCAGGACCCCGACTCCCGAGGACGGACCCCCATCCAGGTCCCAAAACTCCAAGCTCAAAGTGCACCTTCCAACCGTTTCGAACACACCAAGCCTGGGCCTTACGCAGGTCCTCGGCGCTGATGAGCTTGTGCCCCTGACACATGACGACGTGCGCCGTGGTCAAGGCTAAAAACTTCTCGAGGGAACTCCAAGAGGTACAGTTAGCCGTGACGAACTCCAATTCAAAATTTTCCCAAAAGGATCCATCTCGCCGCCAGCGATGTCCCGAAACGCTCGAATCATCCAAAACTGGGCAAGAAGAAGGGATCATGGGGAAGGAGGAGTCCGTCCTGGCTCGATTACCCTGGAGACGGAGCCTTAGCTGCCGCCGCGGCCCTGGGAGCCCGAGCGCCCCTCTGGACCGTCTGGCGGGCAGCAGCTCGCACATCTGCTGGGGCTGCTGGGGGGCCCGCTGCCTTGACTGGCGTAGCGGGCGGAGGCGCCCTGCCTGTCGCAGCCGCCTCAGCCGCTGGGGCTCCACCGCCAGCCTTTGCAGGGGTACGCGCAGCCTCACTGTCAGAAGTCGCCGCCGCCGAACCTCCAGCTGCAGTAGGCGCATCTCCAGCAGCTGCAGCTCCAGCGGCATCCGCATCATCACCACCTTCATCACCCTGGCGGCGACGCTTGTGGGCCAGACGCTCCTGCTGCTCCTTGTGCGCAGTATTGTGCTCCTCGGCGCGCTTCTTGAGCTCTCCGAACAGCTTCGTGCACGTGTCCTTGATACAGTCGGCCATCTGACTCTTGCGACGAGCTGCCTCCTCCAGGTCTCTTGCAGACACCTCAACGTAGTCCTCGAGCCCGAACAAGTTCCCGTCGTCCACCTGCAAACCTGTGAGGCGACCCTCCAGGATGTCGGTGAGGCTGATCGTGGGCATGGACTGCTGCTGCTGGGCCTGGGGCTTGGACACTGTGAGATGCAGCTCTGCGATGGCCGCCTTGTACTCAGCATCGTACTTATCCAGTTCCGCCAAGGTCGACTCCAGCTGGGCACGGAGGGTCTCGAGCTTCTGCTCCACCGTGTGGACAGCTTTGAGGTCCTTGTCCAGCTTCTTCTCGAGCCTCGAGATCTCCTTGTGAGCGGCATCAGCACGCTCCTGAGGTGGAACTGAAGACTCCTTGAGCTTCTGCAGCTCCTGCTGGGCCTGCTGCAGCAACACTTGGTTACCCACTCTCTCGCACAGCTGCACCATCTGCTCCAAGTCAGACTTGCTAGCCGAGGAAGAAGGGGCTGCGGCAACAGATGCCTTGGTGGCCTGACCAGCGGCAACACCAGCAGCCTCTCGACGAAGGGCCGCTGGGTCACCACGTGCCTTGTCCCCCGCAGAGCCATCGTCGATGGGGGCGTTCCACCATTTCTTGCAGTGCTTGCAATAGCTGTAGTAGCTCTCGTTGCGCTTGCACCCGCAATGGCGGCAGGACCAGCGAGGGCCACGAGCGTTGTCGCCAACACCAGGCCAAGCAAGCCTTGGGAGCCATTGCGCGAGTGCCGTCTTGAGTGATGCCGCGCCAAAAGGCCCGCTGTCACCCAGCCGTTCTGAAGTGTCAGTGACAGCAAGCTGAAAGATGCTTCAGCCAGAACGGCTAGGAGGAGGAGGAGGAGGAGGAGGAGGAGGAGGAGGAGGAAAGGGAGGAGGAGGAGGAAAGGGAGGAGGAGGAGGAGGAAAGGGAGGAGGAGGAGGAGGAGGAGGAGGAGGAGACGCGCGGGGAACCGGGAGGCGGCAGCGAGCCGAGTCTGGCCGCACCGAGCCCGAGCGTGGGCCGCCGCCTCCGCGAGGCCGCGCTCCTCGACGCGGCGCAGCTCGCCCCGGAGCTGCTCCCGCTCCTCTCGGGTCGCGCGGGGGGTTTGAGAATCAGCTCAGGCAGCTGATTTTCCCGGCGCCTCCCGGCGCCGGAGGCGCCCATGCATCGAGGAATGGGCCCCTCGGCGAGGCCGAAACCAGCTGCATGCAGCAGATTTCGTACCCCCCCCTTTCCCCCCCCCCCCCCCTTTCGCCCGGCCCGATCCTCCTGCCACGCCTCGCGCAGCTCGGAGACGGCGGCCTCCAGCAGCGACAGCCTCGTGGCCCCGACCTCGGCGACGGAAAGAAAGGGGCCGGCACGCGCGATGGCGTCAGGGCCTTTCGCAGGGACGGCCAGACCGAAACCCGACCGAACCGACAGCGAGACCGAAACCGGACGAAATCGACAGGCCCCAAGCAACCGCAGACCGAAACCGAACGAAATCGACGGACCGAAGTCGACCGACAACGAAACCGAGCGAAATCGACAGGGCGAGGCGGCGCGGCAACGGCGCAGTGACCGACCGAACCGAACCGACCGAACGCCACCGGCTGCGACGCGGCCGAACCGACCGAACCGACCGAACGCCCTTGGGCATGGCTTGCCTCGACGCCCCGCAGCGCCGCCGCCAGGGGGGCGGCCCGCGCCCCGGGGCTGCGGGGTGCTCGAGGCCGCCCTGCCACAGGAGAGGCGTCGGCCCCTCTCCCGGGCCTCGGGAGGTGGCCGGCCCTCCGCCACATCCGGGGCCCGGCCCTGGGGATTCTACGATCGGGGGGGGGGGCCATCTGCGATCGGGGGGGCGCCCATCCTCGACGGGGAGGAGTCCGCACAGCCCGCCTGGGGTGCATCCCCAGGGGGTTACCCGCACCCCTCCTCGGGGCGTCCAGCAGCACTGGCTGCGGGGCTCCCGGGAGGCTGGGCAGCTCAGGGCCTGGCAGGGCCGCACGGCCCGCGCCTGCCCGTCGTGGGAGCGCCGGGCCCTCGCCGCGGTCCGCCAGCGTCGGCTGCGCCGCGCTGGCGCTCTCGGCCGCACCCTTTCCTTCCCCTCTCGGGCCTCCGGTCCCTCTCCTTCCCATTTCCCTCTCTCCCTCCTCCTCCCTCCTCCCTCTTCCCTACCCTGTTCCTGAAAGGCCAAACTCTTCAAGCGGACCTCGGGGATCGGGGGAAACAAATCGCCTGCGACCCTGGACTGCTCGGGGGACCTGCTGAGGCCAGCCGGGGCTACGAGGGGGGGGCACTGCCTGTGCACAGCCCGAGCCCTACCAAAGGAGAGCCTCGGCCACGAATGGATTCCCCGACCCAGCCAGCTCGGAAAGGAAAGGCCCGAAAACCGAAGCCACGTCCCGAGTCCCCGAGGTGGTCCTGGTTCAGGCGTCTTGCCTGTCGGAGGGAGGCAAGCTCGGATACATCGACGATAGCGCACCGTTTGGCCCGAGAAACATCGCCGATGGAGCGCGATACGTCGCCGATGACGAATCCGCACGCCCCCAGGCCGGGGCGGGCCCCTTCGGCGACAGGCCAGGCCACCTGGCTCCGCGCCTCGCGCCCCGGGAAGCGCGGCGCGCAGCTGTCTTCATCTCCGCGCCCCCACGCCCTCGTGCCGCTCCTGGGTGGTCTCCAAATCAGTGGGCGATGAGGGTCCATGCGATCCGTGGGCGATGGGGGGACGACGCATTCCCCCTGAGCCCATCCCCCCCAAATGTTACCCCCTGGGCTTCGGGTCATGGCTCGGCTCTCCAGCGGGCGTTCAGAGAAATCTAGGACCCCCCCCTCAAAGCCCTCGGCGAGGCGCAGCTGCTGGAGCGCCTCCAGAGACCAGAAAGCCGCCGACAGCCAACGCAAACGTATGAAAACCTCGAACGGTAACCTAATGTTGCCCCTCGACGCACCCCTTCCCCATGAAACCTGGATCCCCCCCTGACGTTGACCCCGACGACCGCGGAGGAAGACTCGTGCTCCCCGCGCAGGTCGCGCACCGACGCGCGCAGGGCCTCCGCGGGAAGGGAAAACGCACTGCGCAAACGCCAAAGGCGACAAAGACGACAATGACGACGACGACGACGACGACGACGACGACGACGACGACGACGACGCCCACGGCGGCGGCGGCGGCGGCGGCGGCGGCGGACGCGGCGGCGGAAGCGGCGGCGGCGGTGGCGCCTGACTTCGCGCCCTCGCGCCCCGCGGTGCGCTTGGCGCGGCTATCTTCGCGCCCTCGCAACCTCGCGCCGCCCTCCTGGAGAAGGGCAGCCGCGCTTGCCCGAGCCGCGGCGCGCGAAGCGCGACCACCGTCGGGCCGCTACCACGAGAGGACGTGCAAGCAGGAATGAACGGGCTCTCCTCGCCACGGCGAGCCTCGTCCACGGATAGGTTCCCCGACCTGGATCTCAGAGAGAGCGCGTTTCGCGGGCGCTTGCCTGAACATTCGGCGGCGCGTTTCGAACCCGGGGGTGGGCCCTCCCCCAACACTCGGTGCCGTCGATCAGAACCAGGGGGACTCCCCTCCCGCCTAACCTCCCCCCCTCCCGAACACCCCCCCCACAAGAGGAGGGGAGGGGTTCAACCCCTCCCCCTGGCGCCGGCGCCGGCGCCGACGCTGGCGGCCGCCAGCAGCGCCGACGGCAGGGACGCAGCGACGATGACCAGAGACAGCCCAAAGGGAAGGGGGGGTCCAACCCCGCAGCGACGATGACCACCACTACCACCACCACCACTACCACCACCACCACCACCACCTCAATCCACCACCACCACCACCAACCCACCACACAACCACCACCACCACCACCACCACCACAGCCACCACCACCACCACAACCACCACCACCACAACTCACCACCACCACTACAAAAACCCACACTACTACCACCAACACCACCACAATCTACCACAACACCACCACCACCGCCACCACCACCACTACCACCACCTCCACAAACACCGCCATTAGCACAACCCACCACCACAACCACCACAAACCACCACCACACCACAACCAACACCACCACCGCCACCACAACCCACCACCACCACCACCGCCACCACAAACCACCACCACACCACCACCAAACCACCACCACCACCACCCACCACCACAACCACCACCAGCACAACAAACCACCACGCCACCACCACCACAACCCACCACCACCGCCACCACCACCTCAACCTACCACCACCACCACCACCACCACCACCACCACCACAAACCACAACAAACCACCACCACCACCACCACCACCAAGCACCACCACAAACCACCACCACCACCTTGGGCGCCGGCCCGAGGAGAGCGAGAGAGAGGAGAAGTAGTGGAGGAGGGGGGGGTCGAAACCCTTCCCCCTCCCCTCCAATCAGGGGGGGGGGCCGGTTCCAACCACCCACCCACCCTCCAAACGACCACAGAACGCGCTCTTTCGGATCTCAGGAACGGTCCCAAAAACCAGAGCCTTCGGTGGCAACTCATGGGAGCCTCCCATACCATCTTGTCGGCTCTTGCGAATCGACGCTAAATCGACGTTCATCGACGCTGACCGACGCTAAATCGGCGTTATCCCATCCACTCCCAGACGCTAAGCGACGCTGATCGACACGAAAGACCAAACAAAGAGGGTGTACCAGGCACCCATGCTACAGCAACAACCAGATCCCGTCCTGAGCCCAAGGTGGTCCTTGGGTCAGCGTCTTGACTGCATCGTCGCGCCCCGGAGGGTGGCCTACGCAAACGCAGTACAACGCGACCGTGTCACGAGGGGCGCAGGGTAAGATTGCGGGGCCCTTGGACGCCCAGGTCGAAGCCCAGGTTGGAAGCCCATGGCCCACGGCCAGGAGGTCGGGCCACTGCAAGGATACCCTTTTAAAGCTACTCGCCCTTATGATCTTGCTTGACTGCGGCAAGCTTTCTGAGGTCCGCGCAGTTATCTTGGATCGACGCTGGAGTCACCTCCCTGGCGCGCTGAGGGCGCCAGGGGGTCCAGCGCCGATGCAAGAGATCCCCGTGGGATCTCTTGCATCGGCGCGGGGCCCCTGCCTTCTCAGAAGCAGAGCCGCCTTCTCGGGAGGGCGCTCCCCGCGCGCCCGCCCCCTCCCCTTGGGGGCGCCGCCAACATGCCACGGCTGAACCTGCCGCCAACATGCCAACATTGTATCGTCGTCGGCGCCGGCGCTGACGCCAGCGCCAGCGCCGTCGCCGTCGTCGCCGTCGCCGTTGCTTCTTCGAGCCCTCCGGAGGCCTCCCAGATGGGATCCGAGCGAGTGGGGTCGGGGGAGCGCGCAGCACCGCCAACGCATCGCCGACGCATTGGCGATGTCGGGATGAAACAAGCAGGGCTGCCGCGCGGTCCTTCGATCCCATCTACAGTCAACTCGTACAAGAAGGACGCGCGGTAGGGACTTGGAGGGCCATGCTAACGAACGAGGCTGGTCAGCGAAAGTCGCTGACGATGGGCCGATGGGGCAAGTATGCAAGGGTAGCCTTGGAGAGCTGCTCATCCTTACTACAGTCGGACCTAGGCCAGAAGAACGCACTTCAAGAACATGAGACCCTCCGCCAGCCAAAACGAACAGAACCTCCAAGACTACCCTCCCCAGGGTCCACGAGAACATCGAACAAGCATGAAGAGCACCGGGGTACCCTCCCCGAACTGACCTCGATCCTGTGCCTCGGTCCGACTGTATGCAGGCGGGCTTTCTCGGGGGCGGCCAAGAGAGGGGCGTCCAAGAGGGGGGGGGGACGCAAATCGTGGCCAGCGGCACGTGCGCGGCCCGGAGGGGGGGGGGGGGGCAGGGACGTCGTGCGACAGGAAGAGGCGCCATGAGACCTGGGGAGATGCCGTGGCCCCCGCCACGATATCCGCCACCCCCCCCGGTCCTCCCCCCCCCCTCTTGGCCGCCCCCCGAGCTCTATCCCGGGAAGGCCAGCCGAGACCACGGCGGCCCTCCCGCGCGGCCCCAATCCGCCCGGGATCGGTCGCGCGGGTCCGGAAGTCCGGATCCGCGGCGACGGGAGGCCTTGCCGGAGAAGCGAAACAAGAACCTCGAGGGAGCAAGGCTATCGAGCTGCAGAAGGGGGCCCCTGCCCAGAAGCACCCTGCTCGCCTTCAGGGTGCCGTGGGTTTTTTCTTGGGTTTCGGTGGTTCTGCGGTGGAGAGCGCGACGCTCCCACACCAAAAGTCCATAGGCGTCCTGGGGTCTCAGGGTTGGGTTTCTTGTGGAAGGTCTCTTGTGGACTGACCTCCACTGTAAACCGTGTTTTTCGTTCCCGTGCTGTCTTCGTTCTCCTTCGTGCAGTCTTCCTCCTGCCTCTGGGGCGAAAAACAAAGAACACAGAAATTATCCCAGTGCGACCCTACCTAGGAGTTGGAACCCCTAGGAAAGCAGCATTAGTAGTAACAGTAACGCTAGGCTAAAGCTAAGCTAAAGCTAAGCTAAAGCTAAGCTAAAGCTAAGCCACAGCTAAGCTAAAGCTAATCTAAAGCTAAGCTAAAGCTAATATAAAGCTCAGCTAAAGCTAAGCTAAAGCTAAGCTAAAGCTAAGCTAACGCTGAGCAACAGCTAAGCTAAAGCTAAGATACAGCTGTGCTAAAGATAAGATAAAGCTAAGATAAAGCTAAGCTACAGCTAAGCTAAAGCTAAGCTAAAGCTAAGCTAAAGTTAAGCTACAGCTAAGCTCAAGCTAAGCTAAAGCTAAGCTAAAGCTAAGCTAAAGTTAAGCTAAACGCTAAGCGAAAAGCTAAGCGAAACGCTAAGCGAAACGCTAAGCTAAAGCTAAGCTACAGCTAAGCTAAAGCTAAGCTAAAGCTAAAGCTAAAGCTGAAGCTAAAGCTCCCAGGGGACTGGGGGGAACCGCTCCCAGAGGACTGGGGGAACCGCCCGGGGCGCTTAGCACTGCCTGGCCCCTTTAAGCTAAGAGAGTAAGAACCCTTCTAGGCAGAGCCTAGGTAGGGAACAACGATACCGAAAGGAAACGAAAGCGGCCCACCGAATGGCCAAAACACCGCTGAGCTCGAGCCCCGCCGGGGAGGGCAACCGTTGCCTCGACTCCACTCCCCCGGCTTTCGGGTCGTAACCTCGGGCCTCCGACAGCCGTTCGGGGCGATTCGGACCCGGGCAACCCCAGAACGCGCTCGGCGAGGCGCAGCTGCTGGAACGCATCCCGAGGCATAAAAGTCTCGAGACAACATGTCCACGAGACTAGACCTCCGACGTCTTGGTGTTTTCAATACGGGCTCCCTGGGCTCTGCACCACTTCCTGGGGACCCGTTTTTCGACCGGATCGTTTTTGACGGCCCGACATAATGTTGGTCAACACGTTGTCTGTGATGGCCCCAGGGCCCGAAAGAGGGCGAAAACGCAGGCGCTCAACACCTGGGGAGAGGGAGGGGGAGGAAGGATGAGGAGGAGGAGGTGGAGAAGGAGGAGGAGGTGGAGAAGGAGGAGTTGGCGGAGGAGGAGGAGGAGGAGGAGGAGGAGGAGGAGGAGGGCGAGGAGGAGGAGGGGAGGAGGAGGAGGAGGAGGAGGAGGAGGAGGAGGAGGAGGAGGAGGAGGAGGAGGCCCTACAGGCGGGGTCGAGTGCACAAGACACGTGACAGGACACAAGACTCTTCCGAGAGCCGCACTGCAGCAGGAACGTGGAGGGCATGGGCCGCGAAACCCAAGGCAACGAGAGCACCATCGATTCGGCAGGGTCGACCCACAGTCAGCCTCGCCTGTAGGGTCTCGAAACAAACGGCGGCCGCCGCCTCGACGCGGCCCTCCTCCGAACCTGCTCAAGGATCCCGTCTGGGAGGCCTGAAGCTGCTCTGTCTGGGAGGCTTCTATTTCTCGATCCGAAGCGTCGCCCCGAAACGTGGAGGCCGGGAGCGCCTCGGCGTCGGCCCGGTCGGCGTCGGCCCGGTGCTGGGCCGCAGAGACGGACCTCTCCACCTTCCTCACCTTGGCCCCGAGGTGGGCGGGCAGAAGTCCCGCCCTCCAACTCCTCCTCCTCCTCCTCCTCCTCCTCCAACTCGCCCTCCTCCTGCAACTCCTCCTCCGCCTCCTCCTCCGACTCCTCCGCCTCCTCCTCCGACTCCTCCGCCTCCTCCTCCTCCTCCTCCTCCTCCTCCTCCTCCTCCTCCTCCTCCTCCTCCTCCGCCTCCGCCTCCGCCTCCGCCTCCTCCTCCTCCTCTTCCTCCGCTTCCTCCTCCATCTCATCTTCCTCCTCCTCCTCAGACTCCTCTGCCTCCTCCTCCTCCGCCTCCGCCTCCTCCCAGACATGCTGGCTGGCATCGTGAGAATCACGACGGACGGTTCTGAGCAACGTGCGGCCTCCAGGGACCCTCGCCAGTCCTCCAGGCTGCCCAAGCACGACTCTGGACGAAGAGACTGGTCCCGGGGAATGGGCCCAGACCGCTCGGGGGCCACGTCGTGACCAAATCACGACGTCGGGGGTCTGGGTGGAGGAGTCAAACATGGCAGGACTGGTCAGCAACCCCCCAGGGCTGTGTGGGAAGCGCCAGCTGTGGGGGGGGGCCCTCGTCCTCGAGGGGAGGGCCGGCCCCTCCCAGGGAGCCAAGGAGGGCCCCAGGCAGCAGCAAGCGTAGGCAAGCGCTGGCGGCGCGCACCAGGGGACAGGCGGAGGGGAGAAGGCTTCTCAGAGAAGGAGGCTGCTGCTCAGAGGGCACGAGCCCCACATCTATGAACAAGGCCCGCGCCTTCTGAGAAGCAGGGGTGCTTCGGAGAAGCCTTCCCACCTCCCCTACACCCTGTGCGCGTGGCCGATAAATCGAAGAAATTGAAATCGCCGGCTCTGGACGAGGTCTCGGGCGCCGTGACCTTCTCATAGCGTTCTGGGACGCTCTGAGAGTTCTGGAACGCCACTGGCGATTCATCTTCGTCCTGGCCCCGCCCGATGGCCTCCAGGCGCCAGGGCATGGCTCACGAGGCCCGAGAGTCCCAGGGACTCCAAAAGGGCGCGCTCAGCTGTGACACCTTGGACCCCTGTCTGCGCGTGGCTGAGTAAGCTACAGGGACAGGGAAGAGCAGTCCAGCGGCCAGAGCCTCCAGGAGCCCGCCCTCACAAAAAGGGACCACCCCTCGATGCTCAATCTTGCCGTTTGCCTCTGGATGGTGCGCCTGATGTATGGATGTTGTATTGCCCGATTGTTCTTATGATTATTATTGTTATTCCCAAATCAGAGCTTGCCTCTGTAGGAGCCCTAGCGGATTCATATGGTTAGGTTAAGTTTGCCGCCGATGTTCGCCGCACGCCCGGGTGCCCGGGTGCCCGGGGGTGCCTGGGTGCCCGGGTGCCCCGGTGCCCGGGCGTGCCTGGGCGTGCCCGGGGGTGCCCTATAGCCCTAGAGCTCTATAGCCCTACTAGCCCTATAGCCCTACAGCTCTATAGCTCTATAGCCCTATAGCTCAATAGCCCTATCGCCCTATAGCCGTGCACCCCAATAGCTCTATAGCCGTATACCCATATACCATCTAGCCCTATAGCCATATAGCCCCGTAGCCCTGTAGCCCTGTAGCTCTATTACCCTATCGCCCACTAAACCTATAGCCCATATAGCCATATAGCCCTACAACCCTAAAAAGAGTATGATTGGAGCTGTTATCCGGTATCATTTTTTATAATCGCGTCATTACTCAGATATCATTATTTATAGTAGTAGTAGTATTAGTATTAGTATTCGTTTTCCCCTAGTATTAATGATACGCAGACTTACTATGCTTCGTAATAGTAATAGTATTCGTCGTGCTGGAAGTAGTGTTCTTAGTATTAGTTGTAGTATCCGTTTCAGCAACATGATTAGTATTAGTATTAGTGTTATGATCAGTATTACTACTATTATTACTCTCTGTGTTCTTAGTAGTATGATTCGTACGCTGAGTATTCGTAGCAGCATTCTACGTATTACCATTACTCGTCTTCTTCACATTCGCATGATTACTCCCATTAGAAACATTATGGTTGTTATTACTATCGGTTGACTTATGATTCGTCGTGGCATGTCTGGTATTCCTCATTTCCTTAGTAGCATTATGATCACTATTAGTATTATTGTTGTTGTTGTTTGCTTGTGGGTGGGGGAAGGGCGCGAAACCAGAAGGTACCAACACCGCTACTGCCTGGACCTCTCCCAGGCTGTGTTCTGACCAGAAATTCGGGGAGCATCCAGCCGCAGCGACGAGGGCTCCCCAAGAGGCACACACCGGAGAGACACGAGGAAATGCGAGTGGCATGGGTACTTTTCCTCCTCTGATAGGGCGACGCAATCTATACATATCCACTGCTCCCTGGCCAGGCCCATCCTGAGCACAGCAGCTGTGTATACGCCACGCCCTCCTGGTTTGGCCAGGAGGGCGTATACACAGCTCCTGGGTTCAGGATGGGCCTGGCCAGGGAGCAGTGGATATGTATAGACTTCGTCCCCCGATCTGAGAGGCTGCCCCTTCCAGTGTCGTGAGACAGCCGTGCACCTCCTCCAGGTAGAAGGAGGACCAGTACTCCCGCTCGCTGCTGATGGCGCTCTCGATTTCCTCGAGGAGCACCGCCTGGCGCGCCTTCTGAAGCTTGCATTTGTCCTCCTCCTCCTCCTCCCCCTCCTCCTCCTCCTCCTCCTCTGCCTCCTCCTCCTCCACCTCCTCCTCCTCCTCCTCTGCCTCCTCCTCCTCCTCCTCCTCCTCCTCCTCCTCCTACTCCTCCTCCGCCTCCTCCTCCTCTTCCTCCTCCTCCCCCATCCAAATCGGCAACACCACCATCACAGGCGTCGTCATCGTCGTCACAATTGCAATCATCAATATGATCAACATCATCATCATCATCATCATCATCATCATCATCATCATCATCATCATCATCATCATCATCAGCAGCAGCAGCATCATCCTCATCATCATCATCAGCAGCAGCATCATCATCATCACCACCTCCACCACCACCATCACCATCATCGTCAGCGTCAGCACCAGCATCATCACCATCATCACCCTCGTCCTCAGCATCAGTATCATCAGCACCATCGTCATCGTCATCATCAGTATCGTCATCATAATCGGCATCGTATCGTCAGTATAATTATCATTAGCATCATAACCATCATCAGCATGATCATCCTCATCGGCAGCAGCATCAACATCAGCATCAGCATCATCGTCATCATCACAAGGATCAGTCATCGTCGTCATCATGACCATCGTCCTCGGTATCGTCATCACCATAATCATGGTCGTCGTCGTCGCGTCTATCACAATCACCGTCACCATCACGGTCACCACCACAATAACCATCATCACCATCATCAGCATCATCATCCCCTCCTCCTCCTCCTCCTCCTCCTCCTCCTCCTCCTCCTCCTCCTCCTCCTCCTCCTCCTCCTCCTCTCCTCCCTCCTCCTCCTCCTCCTCCCCCTCCTCCCCCTCCCCTCCTCCTCCTCCTCCTCCTCCTCCTCCTCCTCCTCCTCCTCGTCCTCCTCGTCCTCCTCGTCCTCCTCCCGCCTCCGCCCATCCCCCATCTCCCCCCCCTCTACATCCCCCCTCTCCCCAGGCGAGAGCCTTGCTCGGCTTCTCGCTCCTCGGGCGATGCGCCGCGCCGGCCGGCGCGATCGTCAAGCGCGCCGCGCCGCCCTGCATGGACATGTCGCCCATTTCGGTCGGGAGAGGCTCGGCGCCACGGCGGGGCGGGCAGCGGGCCGGCTGGCTCTCGGGCCGGGCAGGGCCGCCTGAGGGCCTGAGGGGACAGGAGGGTCGAGGACCAAAGCAGCCCCATAGATTCAGCAACGTTGAATGAGGCAGGCTGAGGGGTAGGAGGTCGAGGCACGGCCGTGTGCAAATGTTCGTGTAGCTTCTGCCAGGGATCGTGGCCGCTCAGACCAGACAGGTGGCCGGCAGGGACGCGAGAGAGCGCGCTTCCCAAATCAATTGTGGGGGAGTCTCAAGCGAAACGGCTGCCAGACCAGGCGGTGGGACTTTCTTTTTACCATGATGAGGACCCTCAACCGAAAGGTTGACAGGAAAAAGCTGCTCCAGCAGGAACTTCCGGACCTCCGCGCAGATACCCGCGCTGGACTCCCCTCACCAGCGGGCGGAGCGCGCGGAGCGCGCCAGGGGCGCCAGAGGTGCCGCCAGGGGGTCCCAGCGCCGAGCACAGAAATGCAAGTGGAGCTCCGAATGTCACCCTTTATGCAGTCGGAGGCGACCCAGACAGAGTCGAAGCAGATGGGTTCGGAGGGTCGAGACGACTCGTCAGTGCATCACCGATGCATCCGTACTGCATCGGCGACGTCGGCATGGAGAAAAACGGGCTCCACATCGAGCCGCATCTCCCGTGCATCGGTGATGCATCGCGATCCTCCGACCACGGCTGTCTGGACCCCATGTGGGAGGCCTGAGGAGGAGGGAGAGGGGAAAGAAGAGAGGAGGAAGGGGGATGCGTTGGGGAAGAAGGTACTGACGTCGCTGCTTGCTGGACCTTCCGGGATGCGTTCTGACCAGAATTTTGAGGCGAACCCAGCCATGGCGACGGGCGCATCGCAAGAGGCTAAAAAGAGGAAAACGAGGGAAGGGTACCGGTATCAGTACCGCTTCCTCCTCTGAGCTTTTGCTCAGTGCCAATCTTTCGAGTAGATGGGGTCGGAGGATCGCGCCGCGCCGCATCTCCAACGCATCGCCGATGCGTCGGTGATGCATCGCCGACGTCGGCGATGCATCGGCGACGTCGGCGTGGAAAAAATGGGGCTCCACGTCAAATCGCATCGGCGATGCATCGGCGCTGCATCGGCGATGCGGCGCGATCCTCGGACCCCATCCACTCCGACCCCATCGGGGAGGCCTGGGTCTGGTGCCCCCCCTTCCTCCACACAGTCCGCCCAAGCGGCCCCAGCGGCAGCGGGGTAGGGGGTAGGCGCCAGATGAAATCTGGGAGTTGGCCAGGGAGAGGGCAGATGCTGAAAACGGAGCCTGCTAGCTCACACGCTTGTGCCAACGTGTGGTAAGGATACACATATGGATTGTAGACACTAATATGGATATATGTGTGTATGTATGTATGTATGTATGTACGTACGTACGTACGTCTGTATGTATGTATGTATGTATGTATGTATGTATATATGTATGTATGTATGTATGTATGTATGTATGTGTGTGTGTATGTATGTATGTATGTATGTATGTATGTATGTATGTATGTATGCATGCATGTATGCATGTATGCATGTATGCATGTATGCATGTGTGTATGTTTGTATGTACGTGTATATGTATGTAGTTATGTATGTATGTATGTATGTATGTATGCATGCATGCATGCATGCATGCATGCATGTATGTATGTATGTATGTATGTATGTATGTATGTATGAATGTATCCATACACGTACTTTTGGCCTCCCCCTTCCCATCATCTCCCAGAAGAGGACTTCTACATAGGTCAAGAGGAACTGTCGGAGGTCTGCACGGATATTTTTGGGGTCGGCGCTGGACCCCCTGCCCGGCGCGCTCCGCGCGCCAGGGGCGGCGCTGGCGGGGCCGCCACGGGTGTCCAGCGCAGATCCAGGAAATCCTCGTGGAGCTCTGAATCGAAACCAATGAATTGCCTTAGCCAACTCAACCTGCCAACCCGTCCACCCAGCCAGCCAGCCCACCCAGCCACCCAGCCAACCCGTAAGCCAACCAGCCCAGCCGCCCACCCCGTCACCCCGCCAACCCGCCGATCCCGTCCGCCTGCTCTCCGTGCCCAACCAGCCACCCTGCCAACCGCCCTCCCCCGCCGCCTGCCCTCCGTCACCGCCGAGAGGGGGGGGGGAAGTATTTCTTACCAGCGAAAACCAAAAACTAACCCTCAAGGGGACTGGCGGGACAGCGGGGAGAGGGCAAATCGCACCGTACTATGCAGGGCCGGGATTCGCGCCGGGGTGTGCCCGGGACGGTTCATTTTTTCAACGTCCACAGCGCCTTCTTTCTCAACGGGAAGCTCCCATCCTTGAAACTGTCGCCAAATTTGAAGCCCCAGGAGGCTTCAGAAGGCCCCAGGAAGCCTCAGGAGGCCCGACGAGGCATCCTGAGGCCAATTCCCATGCTTCAGGAGGCCCCAGGAGGCAGAAAGCTGCCAAGAGGCCCCAGGAGGCCTCAGGAGGCATCAGGAAGCTCCAGGAGACTTCAGGACGCCCCAGGAGGCCGTGGGAATCCCAAAAAAGGTTTCAGGACGTTCCAGGAGGTCCCAGGATGCCCCGCGAGGTCCCTCAAGGCCCCACGAGGAGGAAGAGCAGGAAGGGAGGGAGGGAAAAAGAGACGGGAAGTCGGCGGAGGATGTGCGAGAGACTGATAATGATGGCGATGACGATGAGGACGAGGAAGAGGAGGAGCATGAGGAGGAGGAGGAGCAGGAGGAGGAGGGGGAGGAGGAGGAGGAGAAGGAGGAGGAGGACGACGACGACGATGGGGGAGGAGGAGGAGAAGAGGGAGAAGAAAAATGACGAGAACGAGGAGGAGGAGGAGGAGGAGGAGCGTGAGGACAAACAAAAGCCAGATGGGAGCATCAAACAGAGCCGGGATAAGCATCTCAAGGACGCCGAGGGCCAGGACGGAGATACACACTCAGAAAGAACACGGCATTCAGAGACACCATGCGCAACGGGAGAAACGAACATGATGATGGTGACACCGTGGTAAGGCTAGCAACAAGCGTCACGACGACATTCCAGAGAGTGACTGTGATAAAATTGGTGTCTACCCCCGCGAGGGGCGTGACAGGGTATAAGTGCATTTACGCAGCTTGTTTTCCTCCGGTCGTCTTCACACGTCGGGAGCAGCACAAAGATCTGTAGCATCCAGGAGGAGCTGAACACGGACGGAGTGGGTCTGGACCTGGCACTCCGTGCGGACTTACTAAAACAGGGCTAAGATCGGGATAATCGCTCCAGAGCGTTCCGGAGCGCTCTCAGAGCGTTCCAGAACGCTCTGGAGCGGCCGCGGCGCCCAATACATCCTCCAAACCCGCCGATTCTCAGAGATTTCGAGTTATCCCGATCCGAGTTTGTCCCGATCTTCGCGTCGTTTTACGGACTTACTCCGCTGGCATCTCATCCGGAGAGGCTGCGCCCAGACGGGGCAAGCCCGGACGGAGACCGAGCACCCCGTGCGGACCCGGCCGCCGGCCGAAGGAAGGACGAACGGAGACCGAGCCCGGGGGGCGACCACGTGCAGAGAACCCGTGGCACAATCTCCGAACCGGGGCCGAGGGGAAACCTTTGGGCATGGCTTAGTGGGGGGGTCACGAATGGGGGGGTCAGAAAAGGTCCCCTGTCGTGCCCCTTTCGGGCCCCTCCAGAGCCCCAGGGGGCTCGTTTAGGTACCGTTTGGGTACCTTTTCGAACCACCCTTGCCACCCCCCCATTTACGACCCCCCCATTACGCGGCGCCCAAAACGTTGGGGAGGAGGAGGAGGAGGAGGAGGAGGAGGAGGAGGAGGAGGAGGAGGAGGAGGAGAAGGGTGAGGAGCCGGATCGGAAGCGGATCGGATCGCCCACGAGTCGGCCCGAGGCCACCTCGGGCCTCGTCGCCCGGCTCCGACTGGCCATATGGTCGCTGCCCGCGGACCGTCCCCGCACTCCTGGCGGTCCAGCGCGACACTTCTCCACCCAAAAATGTTCGATGAACAGAAGTACGGCAGGTTCGTGTCGTGCCGACCCCGGCGTTGGTTTCTGACACTGCGTGAATCGTTCAACCTTGAACGATCGGCGGCTTTTCGACCGCCCGATCGTTCCATATAAGCCGATTCTAAGCCACTGGCGGCGTTCAACCTTGAAGGCCCTCGGCGGGGTCGCCGCCGGTCGACACGACGCGAACCTACCGTAATGTTCTTACCCGCCACCGTGCCTCTGGAACGAAGTGGAGTGCCCCAAGGCTCACGCACCACCGAGAGGGGCGTGTTGCTGCTGCAGCGAAAACTGTGAGTCTTCAAAAGCCCAGACCACGGCCGGACTGGCCCGGCACGGAGTCCGCCGCAATCGCTCGCGTCGACCTGCCCCGCCCAGAAGGGCTCCTAAACGAGCCCAGATGGCTATACTGGGTAGTCGAAGCCAATCTGGCGCCAATCTGGCAGGCCCAATCTGGCAAACGGGGGCAATCTGGCGAGGGAGCCAACGCGAATCCAGTCTGGCGAATAACCCAAATCATCCAGTTTGGCCGGGCCAGATTGGCCCTGGGGGCCCAATCCAATCTGACAGTCTGGCCTTCGACTACCCAGCTATAAGAGGCCCGCAAAATTGTCAAAGGGGGCCCCAAGTCGCCCCAAGATCGCTCCAAGACGCTCAAGGTGGCCTCAAGATGGCCCAAGAGGACTCCAAGACGTCACAGGAGGCCTCGAAGAGGCCTTCAAAGAGGGCCCCAAGAGGCAAAGATCATGGATGTTCCTAGGAATTGTGTGAGGGATGTTGGCTTTCTCGCCTGTTCGGCGATCCAACGCTCCAAGTCGGCCCAAGAGGCCCCCAAGACAAAGGCCAGGACGCCCCAAGAGGTCTCCACGAGGGCCTCAAGACGCCTCAAGAGGCGCCAAAGACGGCCCAAGAGGGCCCAAGGGCGGCCTCAAAAGGGGCCCAAGACAGGGAGCACGACCCGAACATCTGTGCCTTCCGCCCCAAGAGGCCACCAGGAGGCCCCAAGAGGGCCCAGAACGGTCCCCAAGAGGCCTCACAGCTGTCTCCAAGAGGCCCCCGAGAGGTCCCCCATGAGATCCCAGCGAGCGTCAATAGGCTTTATATCAACAATCCAGGCACATTGGCGGGATGGGCCGAAGGCCATTAGACCTGGGCCGGCACGGAAACGGAAAGAGTTCGGCAGCGACTTGACCGAAAGTACTCACAACACCGTTCGTACTGGGAGCCTTGGCGTTGAGAGCTTGTTACGTCACCCCGCGCTCCGCCTCCTCCTCCTCCTCCTCCTCCTCCTCCTCCTCCGCCTCCTCCTCCTCCTCCTCCTCCTCCTCCTTCCTCCTCCTCCTCCGCCTCCGCCTCCTCCGCCTCCTCCTCCTCTTCTTCCGCCTCCTCCTCCGCCTCCTCCTCCTCCTCCGCCTCCTCCGCCTCCTCCGCCTCCTCCGCCTCCTCCGCCTCCTCCGCCTCCTCCGCCTCCTCCGC